AGGCACCTTTATTGTATGTCCACCCTGTTAAGCACTTAGACATAACTGTTTAATATTGTTTCCAGGGTATGATTGCTACTAAAATTACATTTTTATAGAAACCATATGTCCCTCACTCTAGATATTTGTTTTACAATAAAAAATTTTTTAGACAGCATAGGATAGGATTACATTGAGAAAACAAGTGCACATTATGAAAAGGGGACCTATTTTTCCACTTTTTTCTCGAGAAAAGTGAATTATAATAAGAATTACTCAATGTCTCTTGCCTGTATAGTCAATCCTTTCCGTATCTATGTAAATACAAATACACACTTAATATTTGGTAATTTCAATCAACTATGAAGGAAAAATACCAACATAACAGGGTGGACAGAGGCCTAACAGGGTTGACAATATCATAAAAGGGTGGACAAATCACCAGTAAATACTATATACATCTCCACCCTGTTAGTTTTTCAACAGGGTGGAGATTTTGAGCTAAAATGAGCCTTTTACAGGGACAGCTCTCACACAATTGGTACTCTCCATCCTCATCATCAGTCCTCATGATGCAGGCAAAACATATACAACTAAACAGACATTGACAGACACCGTGCCATCCCGGTACAAATACAAGTAGGCTATAACCACTGTTTCTGGCAGTCTACTGTTAGCAGCGGGAGCCGAAAGGTGTGTGTCTGATGTGATCAAAATTATATGTTTTCCTTCCTACCTAAAGTCTTTGTTTAGAATAATATAATTCTGTTAAACTCTCTGAATCTTTTATTTGTTTGTGAACACACTACATCAAACAATGTGCTCTCTAACTTCCACCTCACAAACACCTTGATTTCTGTATTAGAAAAACTCTTTTCCCGTCTTTTTTCCCGGCTGCATTGTCTGATATAGTAACACAAAGCCACTCCATCATTTTGCGTTTGTTGCATTTATTTGATGACACTGTGGTGGACAGGCTCAGATTAGGCTGCACTCTCCGACCAGCCTCTGTCTTACTTAGGCCATGGTGGATTACATTGTCTATAATTGTTGCCTGATTTCTCTGTGCCCCCCATATCCATCTTCTACTCCCCCTCACCATAGCTCCCTGCACTCTAATGCCCCTTCCTCTTGCACGGGCACACTCTTGCTCCTGTCTGCTCCATATTATAGGCCTTTCAGACAGATCGTGACTACTGCACTGCTGCGCCATGAAACCCTTATTTTCAGTAGCAGCGGTTTGTTGCTGTATCGAGATAAGCGCAAGCGCAGTTAAAAATAGTTAGACTTCAGTGGTTTTACGCTGAACACAGCAGCGCAAATCGCTTCACATTCAGTCTTACCCTTGCAGTATAAATGTGTTTGAGAACTGACTGGTTATGAGTTTTATCTGTCAGTTATATAGGACAGCAGTTGCGTTTGGTTGCTCTAAATTGTGAGGAAACTGCATCGTTTCCCATCTAGCCTAAGTCCATCCATCTGACAACTTTTACAACAATACCACATAACTATTATGTAACTAATATATGTGTGACAGGTTATTATGATTGTTGGTCACTCTATTTAGCATGTAGGGATTTACACAATGAACATGTGTATAATTGTATTCGAGAGAAATATGATAGCAAACAAATCTGCAAGGCTTTCAGTGCAATTTGTGCCAAAGCAATTATGACTATGGTTATGTGAACATCAGGCCTAATGTTCATATGAATAGTCATATAGTTTGTCAAAGTTTAATAGTCATTCAATGACTGAGCCAAAGTGACAAAAAACTGTAACACATCCTAAGATGTGAGATTTATAACACGAGACATGTGAGATTTATAACACGAGACAAAACAGCACAATAATTTATCTCGATTCTCTTGTTTTCATAATCGCTGGAAGCCAAAATCACAACTGAAAATAAACTGATAAATCGACCAGCCCTATCAGCCAGTGCCTCATCATCTACAGTACACTAACCTCTTACACGCACCCTATTAATTGTATTTGGTGAAAGATCTGGTTTATGAAATTGTAGCTGCAGAAAAGAAAAAAGTGGGGGACCTAAAAACATTTCATCAATCATTTTAAGTGGTCAGAAGACTTGAAAGGCACTATATATATTTATATTTTGAATAATCATTTGCCTACCTTTTCAATTCCTGTTCTAGCTATTTTTTCAGATCTCTAATCTAATTACTGTAAAACTTAAATGAATAGCCTGGGCTTTATTTTGCTTTAAAAAACCAGCTACTCTCAAATGTATTATTTAAACCAGTATATATATTGCTTAATTACTCAGTTAATCAAAAATAGGCTATCAAATAACATAATAAATTCTGAATCATTCATTTGATGTAGCTCAGGGAGACAGCGCATCTAGTCCAACCTCACAACAGAAAGAGAGAGAGCCCCGTATCAACATACTGTAGCCGATATGAAAGCCCAATTTTAGTGTGTATAGTGTGTATTTGGTGTGTATAGTTCCTGTAAAATGAACTGACCATTTGAATTGTGGAAAATCTATTCTATCTAACGATGTGTAGAACGTCCATATTGACATAAGTTTAAACTTTTATACATTTACATTTACTCATTTGGCAGACGCTTTTATCCAAAGCGACTTACATTTGAGGAACAACATACAAGCATCAACAGAGCATCAATACAGCACGAGATCTACAACTGACAATACATACTAGTAAGAGCAGCAAGAAATACTAGTGAGAGCTCACAGGACATCTCACATCAATGGGGTAAATACCGAGGGAAGGAAGTAACAAAAAAGTGCAATCAATACAAGATAATTGTAAGGGGATAGAAGAAGAAGAGCACAGGAAGTGCATGTTTGTGGTTAGGAGTTGGAGGTGTTATAAGAGGAAGTGTTCTCAGAAGAGATGAGTTTTTAAGAGCTTCTTGAAGTTAGAGAGGGACGCCCCTGCTCTGATGGCGTGTGGTAGCTCGTTCCACCATCGTGGTGTCACAGATGAGAACAGGGACTGGGATTGCTTTGTGTGATGGGATGGCAGAGCCAGGCGGCGTTCGTTGGAGGAGCGTAGCGGCCGAGAAGGAACGTAAGTTTGTATTATGGAGTTTAGGTAGATGGGTGCAGACCCAGTAGTCACTCTGTATGCAAGCATTAGTGACTTGAATTTGATTCTGGAGGCCACAGGGAGCCAGTGGAGGTCACTGAGTAATGGAGTGACAGTAAGTTCTACCTTAAGTTAGGGTGCAAAGTCCACACTAAACAATACGATGAAACTAGTTAGTTTAAGACTGAAGTTGTGGTGATGTTTGGTTGCACCACCGAGACGTAAGGTTCGTCTTAGCTACTCTGGCGTAAAGTCCATACTAATCAAAACAGTGTCACAGAAAATGACGATTACGCATCTCATGGCCAATCAGTGAACAGCACTATTCTTAACAGAGTTTATTACGGTTTTGTCATCTGTTTGTCTCTCTCTCTTTCAACGTTTGCAATACTGAAGAGGCTAAAAATAGCAACAAACCAACAAAAGGTACCTATACAAGGACAAATAATTATGATTAGGTGATAACTATGAAACCTTAATCTACAGCTAGTCTCACAGTGACATCGAGTGGTAAAACCGTTAACTACAACATAGACGTTATTTAACGGTGCCTGTAACGAACGGTAAAGTTTAACGGGCAGATGAAATTGTAACATTATAACCCCTCCCACTTTTCTCCAGCGATTTCGGAGTTGGCTAGGTGAGAAGGGTTACTATGAGTGGCTAGTCAATCAATCACTCCACATCAGACATAATTAAATGTTGAAACGCGTCCAAAAATCGTGTAAGTTAGGTCTATAGAAAACATCCGACACAACGCAAAGAAGATGCTGAAAAGTTAAGGGAGAAAAAATACGAGTTTGCTGGAGGCAGCTAAGTGCCTCAACATTACAGACTTTTCTTCTGTGCTGCAGTTATTACAACCTACCTGAAGACAGCAGTGAGGGCACTTGCAGTAGGTTGGGTAGTAACTTGTTACAAGTAACGCAAATTTGCCAAAATAAATAAATAAAAATAAGTCATTGCATTTTCACGTTCTTTTAGTATTTATATTTTTACTCTTTAATCCAATATTTTCTTTGGGCTGGTAATCTACTCTTAATTTCGCTACATTTTCAATTCATACGTTCATAACTTCTGCATTTTGCTTCATTAACCGAAATGAGCTGTCATCCAGGCTGTGTGTACTCGGTTACGCAGAAGAGCCCAGTATAATTTGCTCCTCCTGATCACAGTTACCCCACCTTTCAAAACGATGCGCCATGACAACCACTTGACTATTTTATGGAGGACTTTACACCTATTAAGGACTAGGTGTAAGATTTAAGTTGATATGTGACCTGTGTTTGTATTTGTAAAAACGTGTGGTCACACCAGGCCAGTAAAAAGGATAGGCATCTAAGTGAGACTCAAATTCATGAAGGGCCGTGCAACAGACTGGATGTTGCAGTTTCTCCTGGAGAGCAACAGAGATCTACCATGTTCACAGATTACATAATAACCTTTCAAACCGTTGTTAATTTGAGTGGCATCAGTGTAGTGTATATATGTCACGACATAGCTCAGAAAAATTATCCAAAAGAGCACAAAAGTAAATGCCTGAGAAGAAACAGTGACAGTATGGACAGGGTTCTGTCTTGTTAATCCCTAAATCTTATACTGCATTGACAGATATACTGAATGTGTCATGTTTTTGCTTCTGTTGAAGCAGACGGTTTAAAAGCTTAAAAGCACCAGTTACACAAAAGGTGAGAACATATTAAGACAAACTACAAATGTCATAATCTCACTCTCTGTTGGAAGCACATGCTGCCCAGTGACCGTCTCAACTGTCTCATGATGACATGATCCCAATGCCTTATCATATCTTCTAGCAGTAGGTTTTTATAGTAGCTGACACTGTCAGATTTCTAACAATTATAATTGCAGACACGTTTGTGAAGTAAAGCAGTAAAATAAAAATGATTAGTTTTAGATTAGAGTGATTAATTAATGTTGTACCTGTTGGGAAGTGTTCATTGATCGACCAGTTATCCACCTGCAGCGTAGCATTGCCACCATTCCTGGTGAAGCGGACAACATGATACTTCCCATCATTCACTGGGTTACTGCTCTCCTGCACACTGATATCAACTGTGCCAATGTTGAATGTCACTCCAATTTTGCCTTGTTGCTGAAATGAGAAAACACAATTATTTATTATAAACACTGAAACATTGTTCTTTTTTTCTTGTGGAATACTACTTATTCAAATTCTATTGCAGTGTTCACACAACACAATTTCTGTGTATGCGTATACACATCAGCTGCAACATCATATAGACAAATGAATAGAGATGGAGATGTTGACTGGAAGGTTTTCCTTCATGGAAACAGGTTGTTTTGTTAGGTAGCGGTGCCTTGTCCCATTCTCGGTAATAAAATATTGGTACAATGCAAGAGAACTGACGCATCATGTTTTATTTGGCTGGACCACTCAATAGAGTTGGAGCATATAAGCCCCTTCTCTGCGAGCCCCGCCTGCACAAGCAGCTTCACTATGCCCTCCCTGGCATAATCAAATTACAAATAGACAGTCAGACAGACAGACACACACACACAGATTCCTTCCTTTATTAGAAAGACGTGTAATCACAATTAATGATGATTTGTGTGCACAATTTAATAAAAAAGACCAAGGAAAGACCAGGATTTCCTTGAGAATTCTTGCAAAGAAGACTTGCAAACTGATTCACTGTAACTTATGGTCTATGACAACATCCATAACTATATGTTTAATTTACAAAATCAATTAACTCTAGCGACTCCAAAATTATGTGTCTACATGCTTCCAAAGCCTGGTCACCCTGGGAAAATTTGAAAATGTGTAATATGTTTAGTGCAGTTTTTGTAACTGCTTCAGCTTCTCTAAAACAGAGAGGAGATATTATTATCATTTAGTGACAAACTGATATGCTGACTATATCTCTATGAGGTATATTGATAATGTTACCAAAGATTGTTAATTTTTACCAAATGTATGTGGTTTTCACTGCTCCACACCTAGCCCCAATGGGTCCACTGTTTAGCTGCAAGCAGAGCATGAGTAGTCAGGCATGGATACAATACCCTTATTGCATCCACGTTTCCTTCGCATGTGTTTTTACTTTGCAACTCAATCCCTCCCATCAAGAGGCGAGATGCATTGAATCGTGATCTCAGTTTGTACATGTTAATGTTGGATCCTCAATGCACGCCAAAGTTATTCCCAGAGTTCCACAAGGTTCTGTGCTTGGACCAATTCTATTCATCTTATATCTGCTTCAGTTCCAGAAACACTCCATAAGCATCCATTGTTATGCAGATTATACACAATTATATCTGTCAGATGAAACTAAACAGTTAAACTTCAAGAATGCCAAGGTCATAAAAACTTAGATAACTTGCAATTTCCTGATGTTCACTGTTTTCACCTACATAACATTGCAAAAATCAGGAACATCCTGTATAAAAAAGAAGTAGAAAAATTTGCCCATGCATTTGTTACCTCTAGGATGGATCATTTCAATTTGTTACTATCAAGCAGGCAAAACGATCTGCTCCTGAATGCACTCCCTGTGCATTATGAAGCCGTACAGAGGACAAAGCAAAACTGGGTCACAGTCGGAATGCAATGCAGCTGTGCCCTGTGGAATCCAGCTGTAAGACTACTCAGGTGATCCCTGAACCCTCCCTTATTTATGCTGCTATAGGCCTAAACTGCTGGGAGACTTTCCATGATGCACTGAGCTTCTCTCTCCTCCTCTCCCTCCCATTAATGCATTTTACTAACTCGCTATCTTCTCTATCCCGTAGTTTTGTGGTTCCTCGTTTCTCTCCTTCTGTTGCTTTGTGCAGATTTTTGTGATGGCAAACCCCCTACTGCCCTCATGTTCCTGATCAACATTGGCATTTTATTTGCGAGCATTTTTTTATTATTTTAATTAAATATATAATTATATAATTTTTACCATTACTTTATGTCTCTCTATATATCTCACATCAAATTAGACCTGATTCACTCGATTTTTTAACCTCAGATGTGACTTAATGGCAATGACAGCAGACAAGTAAAATGTGTTTATTACTGAGTGACAGGACTCCATCTCGGTCTGACTACATTATCGGCCATAAAATCACAGATCATGAAGAGAAAAATCTTTTTAATGAATGGATAAAGTAAATGATGGTTCTTTGGATAATCCGACCTAGAGTTAATACAAATCCACTATTTTTAACAAGATAGTGAATCAGAAAATAAATAACATCTAAAAATTTGGAGTTATACACTTATTCTGTCTGATATAAAAGTGTGGTGCGGTCTCAAAGGGGTGTGTCAGTTCAGTAAAGGACTTATGCAAAGTCTGGTCTTAGTCTTATGTATCCTTGCTTATGTCTCCATTTCATTGCCCATCTCTCTATGAACAGAAATAAGGGATTTGGAATGTCCTTCATGATGGCGGACTGGAACAATTTCCAGGCTAAGCAAGGAGAGAGGAATTATCAACTAATACAATGGTGATGTACCATATGGCTTGAATCTCTATCAGCTGATGAACAGAACAGCAGCAGATAGGGCTGCAATAATAAAACTTGTTATTAAGAGTGCTCTTTTAGAAACAAGTATGTATAAGGACGACCAAAGTAAGAATAGCTACTCCGTCTTTTCAGTATAATACATTGTCACGCTTAGCATCAAGTCAACTGACACGTGTAGCGCACACTGGGCACGCCAAATAGTACAGGTACAGTAGTTAGAAAACAAAACAAACACAAGCTGAGGCAAATATGCAGAATGTGGCTGAGAACTTACTATGTGCAGCATGAGATAGTCTCCCAGACCAGGTGCGCTTTCAATCCTGACCAGGATGCCATCTTTCAGTGAGGTGCTGAAGCCCACAGTCAGCCTGTCCGTCCTGGTGCTTGGCCTCTCATTGGCTGGCCAGTTGAATGTAATTAGGCCTCCACCTTTGCCAAAGATGTATGTCGTCCCAGCTGAACAGAGCAGGAGGAGAAAGTATAAATAATAAGCTCAACCAAATCCTAACCCTAAATGTGTGACAAGTCAAGTTGATGGTCTACTTTGGCATTTAGTTTCTTCTTTCCAGTGGTAGCTAGTTTCTTTACATTGAATTGAAATAATTTGTAATAATAATAATAATGATAACTAAACATACAAACAAATATAACAGGATCCAAGTACCCCGAAGCAATTCGGACCCGGAGGCTAACCAACCCAAAGAAAATTAAGATGCCAAGAGCAAGAACAAGCAATGAAAATGTTTATGTATTGGTTGTTTGCCATTTTCACTGATTGTGTTACTTAAAAAATTTCACAGTGTTCGTTAAATGTCAAAGATAGGTGCCTTTTATTAAAAATAATTTTAAGTCTTTATTATAAATTATTTATGCGTGATTAATTGTATCATTCTTTTTATTTACATCTGTGCCATCATTTCCCTGTTAAGAATCTTTTAATTTCATCGTGAATGATAAAACACTTTGAAAAGTCTGTTTCAAAATTAGCCCTATAAATTAATCATTGATCATCTTTCTGATGTTAAATAATGATGACTGAGTCACCACAGCAGATGATGATTTATAGATACATGCTGGTCTGGATTTCAGCTTCATCTCAAGAATCGAGAATTTATGTTCTGTGCGGGATTCAGCTGATTGGACCACGGAAGTTCTAGGACTTCCATACGCTCTGCGTTGTCTGTCTTTATTTCCGATACTTCTCGTCAGTGGTTTGTATCCGAGTTTTGCTTTGAATGTCTACTGTGTCAATTAGCTGTTTCAATGCTTCCAAGATAATATTTGTTCCTCTCTGGTCAAGGTATGGGGTGTGCACTAAGTTTTAACAATGTAACTTTGTTACTTTTATGTAAATATTGAATTATGTAAATATATTCCAGATCGACATCCATCCTTTAGAAAAGGACACACACAGGGTGTCACTATAAATACCCAAAATACCCAGCGTATATATCTGTTTGGTCCCAAGCATTATGCCATACCACATGGAACAGATCATAGGAGTGTTGTGAACAGTCAGGTTATCCTTTTTTTCAATTTTCAGTACAGGTTTATTTAATGCATACTTGAGTAACTGTGACCAACATTAATGCTGTCATTGAGCCCCTGCAGAGCAGACTGCCACTGCTGCTTTTTATAGTTTTATTGTAGACTACTACTACTTGAATTTGACTATTTTGTATTTATTTCTTTTATGCCTTGTTTTATTGGACTGTTGTCAGTTCTTATTGTAAAAATATAATACAAATTGTTTTCACAGCTACAATATGTGCCAAGTGTATATGGCAGCTGCCATACCTTGGAATCCCATTTTTCCCATAAAAAGGAAAGATGTATCTACAACATCTGAAATGCAGAGTAGTGGTGCATTGTGGCAAGCTATTGCTTCTGAGCAGCTGCTAGTGTCCACTCCACCTGGCAGCTAACACTATAACCGAGCCTGCAGCTGCTGCTACCTGAACAACATATCAAGGCTTAACACTGACTCGTGGCAATTTGGTTGGGTTTAGGCACAAAAAACACTTGGTTAGGTTTAGGAGAACTAAGAATAACTAGAAAAATAAGTATATAGAACAATGATAAGTTAGAATAACTACATTACTTATGTGACTTAAAATACATAATGTTACTTCTGTAACCTACATAACTTAAGAAAAATCACTCAATGTAGACTTTTTGTTTCACACAGGAAACAAACAGCGGTCTCTTGGGGGAAGGTCTGGTTTCTGCGTTCATATGTGATGACTTGGGAGTAAGAATGGGTCAATCAGTCAGTACCATCCATATGACAGACCTTAGTGCAGAAGCACTGGTTTATGAGTCACGACATCGAAGTGATAGAGTGATAAAGTCCAATGATAGATTATTTTCTGTTTCAAAATGTGTAAAAAAACTCAGAACAACGAGTGTTGACAGATTCACCCACATCATGCTAATGGTTGTGGGATCTACACTGGTAAAGACCTTAAACATGGATGAGCTGGTGACAGACTTTGCCCAGTTTAGGCCAAGACAACACCCAGACTAAACAGCACCAGGAGGTAAGAAGATGGGAATGTCTTCCTCCTCTAATCTGCAGACTAACATTTGTTTGTGCAAAGAGCAAAAATCGCCTACAGCAGCCTGAAGCTATCTGATGAAGTGTACTATAGTTAACTTTTGTTTTGTCAAAGCGTATTGACATGACATTAGAACCAAGCAAATTCGACGTGATTTATAACCACAATTTTCCTACCACGTCACTACCAATATCTTGAATTTCAACTGTGCATGAAGCTGTAGGGGCAGGCTACAGAGGAGTATGAGCCTAAAGTTGCCACATATAATGCAAAGTGAACAAAGTTATTATGTTGAATTCATGCAAGTTTAACCTCTGGAGTGGTTGTGCAGTCGTTGCAATTTACCCAGAAACTGCGAGTACAGATGTCTGCTATGACAACACACCATCCATGTGTCTGTGTATGTTGCACAGCTCAGGAAGAGTACAATTTCAAAACTTATCTAAAACTGTATATTCATGAAACGGAGTCCTAACATAGAATGTTCTCTCCAGTCGAAACATTTACTTACTTTTATATTTCATCAGGGTTTCATCACAAAAGATGTGTTTAGGGCTGTGTGCTTTACACTGAGATGATTTCATCCATTCTCTGTTGTACACATGTGACATTAGATATTTAATAGAGAGATCAGAACTCACGGTCATTGCACTGTGTGCCAGTGTAGGAGGTCATGGAGCAGTCGCAGGTGTAGTTTTCCCACTGCTGGATACAAATGCCCATGTTGGCACAGGAGTCCTCCTGACAGGTGGTGCTGGGACCTATGGAAACCCAGCCAAAACCACAACCACACACACACACACACACACACACACACAGACAAACACAGAACTATGTTTAATACTACATAAACTTACTGGAGGCTTAACCATAATCAGTACATGACTAAACTGAACCTAGAGCCTACTTTAACACTGCTTTGGTTTTGAACTCTGATAGCACTTGTTTCACCCACAGCCACTGCCTCTTGACAATTCTTCCACTGTGTTTTACCCATAATCGTGTCTCTTCACTCATCTTTTTAAATATGAAATTACCTAGTGGCTATGAGGTTAGTATGGATTGTCAAAAAATGTTTTCATCCTCATGGATAATTGTGTTAAGAGCTACAGCTTGTTCGCTGCATCCTCCCCAAAAAATGTTCTTACTCACTGTTGCTGGTGTCCAACCACGCAAATAGCATTGGTTTTTATAAGATATTTACCTGTCCAACCAATACAGTGTTTTAACTGGTACACTTAAACTTTAGTTTAGTTTTAAAGTGTTATTCTTTTTATTTTCCTCCTAGCATCCTTTTGTCATTTATGAACAAAATGGGCCTTTATACTGGAAAGCACAATAGAGTAAGAAAGCAGGTTTTCCCAGTGTAGAAATCAAGGTTCATACTGTATTGCTGGTAGAATAATTTGCATGTGGAGTTTTTTAAATAAATCTTTAAATAACATCACATTTATTGAGTTATCCATGAGAATGAGGAAGAATTGCCATAAAGAGTAAAAGTATTCCTGTAGTGGTATTGTCGCCTCAAACTACCAAAGTCATCCCGTCAAATCTTTCAACTTTAGAGTTGAAAGAGTATCACTTTAGTCCACTGCGTTGACACTATATACTGTACTTGACAGTACAGACAGTAATGTTTTTTTTCTATGTTTCAGACTCAATCATTTAATTTTCATCAATCATGTTTATGTGAAATTTTAAAACAGGAAAATCATATTTTCCAGTGTATCTGCTTGCACATTAATGTACATAAATGTTCACAATAGCAGACTGAGTGTCAGCCTAAATCAAGTCATCAAACTCAAATTAGTTAAATGTGTTGAGTGGGGACTTACCTGCTCTGTTATAGAAGCTGTTCAGGATCAAATGAACTGATGATGAGTTGGAGGAGGGGATGGAGTATTGGAACTTAAAATGACTTACAATGCTGCAGTGGCAACTCCTCCTATTTCTCGTGATTGATCCGCTGATCTGGTTGAGGACTCAATGTAAGGTGTAACAACAATTAAACTTTTTTTATGTTACTTCTGCTGATACTCGTCTGTTACATGTTTGCCAGCAGTGCGGTATCACCATCTAGTGACAGTACAATGTATTGCTGCAACCTGAGCTGCTGACCCAATTATTATTAATGGGCTTAAGAGTTCACGGGCTGAAGAAACATGGCAAATCCATTTTATGTGATGAAAGCTTGTGATGCAGTGCAGGCAGTGCATGGCACTACAGTCTAAATGACTAATCAACTTATCATGATACATCAGCAAAAAAGAAAAGAAAAGCTGAAAAGAAAAGAAACCATACAAGCACATAAAAATGAGACAGAATGCCACGGACAAGACCAACAAACTGTGATTGATGAGATTTTATTTTGAAAAATAATTGAATCAACCATTACTTTCTTGCAGTACATACAGTACAGTGAATAACATTGTTACCAACCCCATTCAGATTGTCACAGCTAGGAGGACATACAGTACACATAATGTTTTGTTCTGTTTGATTAAAATGAAACATTCACTAACACATTTATTTGCCTAACCTGGGGCTCTGTAAGTTAATGTAAAAAAAACAACATGTAGTACACTCAATGTCCAACTGAATGATAAGCTGTACAGAAAATGATTTTCATGCAAAAATGAACAGGTTGTGGAAGCTGACCCAAACCCTTAAGAAGATGACAAAAACAACCACAAAAGAATGCGAAAGAACTTGCACAGGAAAATGGAAACATTTTGTCCAGTGACATTTGCTTGCTCGCGCAAAATGTTTCAACAGCCTATTTGTTTGTAGCTATACAATTGCAAATCAAGGCGAAATAAATAAATTTTGCTTTGTGAAGACTAAACTGTATGGACTGGAGTCTGTGCAGAGCCTGAGCCAGATTTCCAATGGCCCTATGATGTCATGGCCAGGTATCAACCTGCACATCCAAAGACTCTTTCAGTGTTTACATTGTATTTTTTCTTTGTACTCCCTCAGTAATTGGCCATTTGCTAAACCCCTACCCCAAACAGCAATTGTCCAATTATAGCTTAGCAACTGTAACTACTTAGAGCAGTAACCTAGTATCACCTCCAAGGCCTAAAGTTTGGGCTTTAGTTAAGGTGTTCCAGCCAGGTTTTTCAGCTGAGTACGGACTAGACCTTCTCTATATGAAAAGTGCAATGAGATAACCTCTGTTATGAAATAAATTTAATTAAAATTGTCCATGTTGTGTGTCAGACAGACAAATTAGATATAAACAGCTGTCTACACAGGCAGCGTAATGGGTCACGTTTGACTCGCACTATACATGTGTAAACATGATCCAAAGTGTATTTTTACACTTGTTTTTTCTAATTTTATATGTGTAACTACAGTGGTTGTGTTTTGGGCTTTGAGTGCTGCCAAATCACGGATGACCTACACTCAATACTGTACATTAACACATCCTGTACAGACACTGATTGTAGGGCTGAAGTTGCTGCAGGCAGTGTAGACATTGTGTTAGCATATTATTACATAACTACATTATTATGTGGAGTTAAAAGGTTATGTTTGAAAAAGTCTTGATCAGGATTGACACATTCAATCATTAGTAGAGTCTAGGCTCAGCACTGTCCTGGTTTGTAATGGGTTTGGGGACTTATGACTTTGCCAAACTCATAGTTTAGTCCTCATCCTTAAAGCCTTTTATCATGTTACAGTGAAACGTATCAGCTGAAAATACTTAAAACACATAAAAGTAGCTTATAATGTATTTCCACTTAGACCTGAAGCTCAAAGATTCAATGTTTTCATTTGTCACATGTTCATGAAAGGTGTTATGCTACGAAGAAACAATGCATTGGGCTTGGCTAGCATTAGCTAGTGTTTTTTGCATCATAACACAGCACTGAGTTAACATGACATTATGTACGTAACCATCAAATGCATATTTCTAAGAGTTTTGAACCAACTCACAGAGTTAATGTTAGTTAGCTAGCTGGAGCAAATAAAATCTGCCAATGACTGCTGTCGTTTCAGAAATATCAACAGTTATAACAAAGTGAGGAACTGCTTCTGTCAATTCTGTCTGAAGTCAAGGATCCTTTGTTAGAAAATTGTCATTGTAAACTACATATGTGCATTGCTAGAATGGAAAGCTTGACAAACATAGCAACAATAAGTAAGGGGACGGGGCTTAGTGAAGGGTCAATTAGAAATGTCATAGATTTTTAAAATTTACAGTAGGGCAACATTTTGCTCTGAATATATCTCTCTACAATCAAATTAATACATGTGTCTTGGTCCTAACACACCTGAACCAGTCACTCAGGATGAGCTCTGTAGTACCTTCTTATATGATAATGTAATAAGACATTAAAGACATTCACAAAATTCAGAAAAACAAAAATGAATTAAAAAAAGGATAAAAATGGGGAAAAAAAGCTGATCTGATGGTGATTATGACGGCACTGTCAGTGGGCGACCAATGTGGTCGATAACATGTGGTAGTGTAGGTGGGGAGGTGTTTGATGTCTGACCTGACTAGCAGTGGGAAAATGAAGCAACAAGTACAGTTAATAGAATAGAGGGACGTCCGTATGGATGCAGGGCTGTGGAGCTACTGTTTGCATTGAGCAGGAAGGAAGGGCTGCTGGAGCTGGAGTTGAAGTTTGTGTTGTAGTAGTCTAAATCAGACTCGGATTTGAGGGACGGTGTACCTTCGCATCCACGCTCAATCTGCCCGCTGCGAAACAAGGCGTCACTGAGGAGATCTGGCAGGCGACCGTTGAGGTCCACCGATGCCAAACAGCCCTGGAAGCCTTCTCTGGAAGCCACCAGTTTAGGCAAGCTGCCATACATTCCTGGTCCCAGTCCAGCGATGAACAGATCACCTGGGGTGTAGAAAACAGACAGTGTAGGAGGAGAAGTGTAGGTGGATCTTATCTTAATACTTGCATGTTATAAATTATTTCTTAATGTGCCAGTGTCTTAAATATCTGTGGCAATTTGTCTCGGTAAAGTACATTTTTATGGTTTTCATCAAGTAAATAGCAAATGTTGATGTTACATTACACAATGGCAAACCATAACACCACACACACATTTTTTTCACCACTGTTAACGCTTAAATGCAACACAACGTAAACAGCTGGCAGAACATCACAGCCCAAAACCTGTGTTAAATTGCTACCAGTTTCTGATTGATCAGAACCAAAACAAAGATAATCACCTTGGCAGTGTTTGCTGCTATTGGTTTTTGAATGTCAAGATAACAATCAGAGAAATCAACTCTACAATTACTCACTTTAGAAATTGAAAGAGCGAGCATCAGAACATGTCCTTTATATTCCTACTTCCTAATGCCATTAGCTTTGCCTAATTAGTTACAGTAGGCTACCCAATTTTGCACTGATGGGAGAACCCATTTCCAATATACCTTACTTAATTTAATCAGTAATTAAAATATCAGTCCAATAGGCTGTTATCATGCTCAGACTAAGAGGAAATCTGGAGTGTAAAACTCCGATGCTCAAAGGACGGATTGAGTTACTGTTTTAAGTTTTTAATTGACTGCTGTTTATTTCTTTGTGACAAGCTTGGATTTCTTGCTTACTGTACCACAAGTTACTCACAGCACCTTTTGAGAAACATTCTGAAATGCCCCTTTAATGATATGGCACAAAAGCAGTCTGTGACTATGATAAATAATATTGTGAGAAGTAAATGGACATATTTTAATGCTCAAGGAAAGTCGATGAATGTTTTTTTAGCAGCTCAACAACACTAGCCAATGTAGCTGAATCAAAACTGGACATACAAGGAGATAAAAATATCTAACAGGTGTCATGTCCTGTGCATACCTTTTAGGTCGAGGTTCTTGGCCCCATTGATACTCTGACTTGTGGCTATAGCGTCTACTTTCAGTGTGTGGGTGTTGCTGTTGTCTCGGGTGATGGCCACATTGTGCCACTGGTTGTCATTCAGTGCCCTTTCACTTTTGCCCTTGATAAGGTTGGGCCCATTTCCTAGGTCAAAAACATAGTGGATGTATCTGCAAGAGAAAAGTTATTGAGTTACAGAATGCTTAAGACATGTTAAAACAATGTTCACAATTTGACAGCACTGAAACATTGACTTTTGAACAGCTTTAATGACAAGTGTGCTAAAATACATATTTAGTATATTCCCTAGAATCTAGGGAATATTGAACGATATTCAGAAAATAAGGTAGCTAGCGAAACTGAATAGAGTCTATTCAGTTTCGCTAGCTACCTTATTTTAGCTTAGCAGCTAGTAATGTCTTCTCTCTTCTGCTCTCTCAGTTTACTTTTCTATTTGGAGGTCAGTAAAATGAATGTTTAGTCAGTGTGTGGAAATGCAAAGACAATGTCGGACTCTTGTAGTTTTCTCTGGGCCCCTGCCAAATCTGACCAGTGGTGACATGTTTAGCCGCATGTCATCATGCCACCTCTGGCTGTTAAAGTTGTGTCCAGCAAATGATGTGGGCTTTGTAGATAATTGGCGGAGTATCTGGGGAAGCTGATTAGGAGTGACAGCATTCATCCCACTTTGGAAGGAGCAGCTCTCAGAAATATGACAGAGTTTATTAGTGGACCACAACCATGATACTCCAGAGTTGAGACCAGGAGGCAGAGCTGCAGACCTACACGCTTCTCTGCACTTCCATTAGAGCAGTTACCCACCCAAAACCTCACTGTGACGGTGTCTCCCCAACACTTAAATTAATTATATTGATTTATTTTGTCTGTCTGAAACCTGGCGGGGTAATGAAGAATGTGGTGACTAAATGAATCCACTCCCCCCAGTCACATTAATACTCATATTCCTGGAGGAAACAGCTGAGGAGATGGGGTTACAGCTATCTTTGACTCAAGCTGAAATTGAAACCTAAACTAAATTATAACTCATTCAGAAGCCTTGTTCTTAGTCTTTCGCACCTAACCTGGAAAACACTACAGCCAAATATATTTGTTATAGTGAACCACCCTCTTGGTCAATATCTTTTATATTTCATTTGAATTTATCCTCCTGCTGTGTTTACCTCATTATTAGATTTGATTGCTTCTGTCAGAATGTTCATTAACCTATTCACTATTTTAACCACACCCTTGGCCTAGTTCTGGCAATACAGCATTGAGATTGAACATTTAATAGTCTTTCTACAGCATCCCTTCTTATTGGACCACTATTTAAAATCTTTTCAGTTCCTATCACTGGACTACATGGCATTAGGCAAAAATTCCTACCCTAGATGTCAATCTGATAGTGCTGTAGTTAAATTGAAGGAAGTGATTCCATTTGCATTTAATCCAATACCATGTCTTAATATACCAGAGGACTCCTATGCTAACTTCAGTCCCTTTGATAGTGCAAATGACAAATGAAAGAAAATAATAAAACAAAGTAGGTTAGCTCCATGGTATAACCTTCAAACCCTTAAAAAGGAAAGCAAACATTGTGAAAACTTGAAAGGAATGCTGATTAAACTGGATTCTAGTCTTAAAACATATAGGAAAGACCTCTGTAATGCCAGAGCAGCCATTACTCATCATTAACAGAGAAAAATAAGAACAACCCCAGGTTTCTTTTCACGGTCACAGCTCTATTGAGTCCTCAGTAGTTACCACTTCAAAAGCTTCTTTAATGATCAAATTCTAAATATTCAAGGAAAAATCAATCACCTCTAGTTGATTTATCTTCAAACTCAGGAACCTTAGAAACAGCTGTAAAATCCTCCCATTGATCTTCACCAACAAACTTCAATGATTTCTTCATCTAAGCTATTAGTCTGTCTCTTGGACTCCATCTCAACTAGGCTGCTCAAAGAGGTTTTACCCTTAGTTAGCGCTTTACTAGACATGATCAATCTGTCTTTATTAATAGGCTATGTACCTCAGTCCCTAAAAGTACGACAGCGGATCCATCTGTATCTCTTGCCAGACAGCAACAGGGTGAACAGCCTGTGGCTGGTGTGGGTACTGTCTTTTAGTATCACGTCACTCCTATATAGATTTATGGTGGGATGTTTACAATAAAACTCCTGGAGCTAGTCCGCAATCATCGAGATCGTTATGATGTCTCATTAAAATCACAACCTGCTAGATAGTCGCCATGTTTGGTTTGTTTACGATGTGCAAATTCGGAGGTTGTCAAGGAAGATAATCCGGTGTCGGCGAGGGATGAACAGGTTTTGGTCTGCCCCCTAGTAGATTCAGGTTTAGTCCTCCAGGTACACGCTAAGTACATAGACAAGTATGTGAACAATGCCGTTTGTGACGCCTGTGTATGCCTATGCATTGTTAAAAAGCAAGTATATCACTGATGCTCGGTAATGGGTACCAATGATCTTCTGAATGGTTTTAATTACCTGCTGCAGAGCCCTAATGTCCTGGGCCGTGCATGCCAGTTTGTGATGTTTCCAGTCAGGATGCTTCCTATTGCTCCTCTGTAAAAGTTCATAAGAACTTGGCACAGGAATTTTTCCTTCTTAAAGCAACATTACCCCTTCCAAATTGTTTTGATGGTACACTGACGTGTAGGGGACTGCAATGTCTATCATTGCTGCTCCGGGCAGGGGAAGCTTTCTATGGCACTATGTAAGATTGAGATCCCGGGCAGGATTTCTATCGCAAGAACAGCGTAATGCTTTACAGCACCACAACCCACAAAACTATTCAGCAAGCCAAGCAAGCTATAAGAAGAAGCTATGATATCATGGAAGAGGCTTCGATGAGACAGAAGATGATGTCGGAAGAAGCAAGGAAGAGTAAAAGACCAAGCAAGTGAACGGACAATGGTAAATATCAAACTGGCTTTTACTTGTTGGCTTTTACTTGTTGGCGTGAACTAAAAGAGCTGAAAGGATGCAAAACAGAATCAGTTTTGCCGAATTTTGCATGCCTGCCAAGTACTGCATGTAAATGCATTAAAATTCTGCTTTTAAACGCTATACTATTCTTTGTGGGGTTCAACAATAATAATAGTGATAAATGATCAGTATATATTTGATGAACATTAAGAATCGTTAATATATTATTACACTTGGTAAAAGTACCATTTCTTGAGACTCAGCAAAAACATGTGTCGTTAACCGCGTTCAAACAACGTGAACAGCAAAGTGTCCTAAAAGGACCTTAATAAGTGAATGCATAATTCGGCAAAACGGATGTTGTAGGCTACCTGCCGAAATTTGCATCCACCAGTTTTCTCAGTATAAAAGAGCGTTTTAAAATGTGCTGCAAAATGTCACTAGACCTTGTGGGAGCAAGGCCTGATTATTGTGAGATAAAGCGAGCGACCGAGTGAGAGGATGTGCAGAGCGAATATGCGCTGCGCAGCAATCAAAAAATTATTTTTAAATGGGTTGCCAAATTTACTTGGGCGGCTGTTAATCTACTTGGGTGGCTCGCCCAAGTAAAGCCTATGTGTGGGAAACACTGATGTAACATTAGCTAATGACAGAGGTGAAGAGACCGAAAAGGACAATGATGGAGGAAGCTAAGAAGAGGAAAAAAAGAGAGACCAAGCAAGAGGCTCTTGGGCGTTTGCAAGAGCTATGAGAAATAAAAGGCTGCGAGACAGATGCCAAGCTGGCCTTCTTTCTGTGTATACAGTTGACAGTGTGATGCTGATTTTCCAGGAACCTAAAACTTGTCATCTGCTCTACCTCAGCTCCACTGATGTAGACAGGAGTGTGTGTCTTGGCCTCCCTTTTTCCTTAAATCAATGATCGGCTCCTTGGTTTTGCTGATGTTAAGTAGTAGGTTGTTCTCTGTGCCACTCTGCGAGTTAGTGATTTCCTCTGATATGAAGTCTCAGTGTTGTTTAATATCCGGCCAATGATTGTGTTGAAAGTTCACAACAGAGTTCTCTCAATTTAGTGGGTTACCGTAATGGGTGTACAGCATGAACAGGAGGGGTCTGAGTATATAGACCTGGTGGGCCCCCATTGTTGAACACTGGAGTGGAGGTTGAGTGGTTTGAGTGGTCAAAAAGACTAGAAAGGCGCTATACAAATATGTAGAGCATTTGCATTTTGAGTGCTGAGTTTGCTGATCAGTCATGTGGGAGATTGTGTTGAATGCTGAGCTGATGAACATATCTGATGTCGCTGTTGCTTTTCTCAAGGTCTGTGAAGACTGAGTGGAGGACAGAGGAGAAGGTATCCTCTGTGGATCTGCTAGTTCTGAAAGCCAACTGGTGAGGGTCTGGATGGGATGTTGTTCTTTATGTGCTGAAGAACCAGTTGCTCAAAGCACTTCATCAGAATGGGGGTGAGTGCCACAGGACGGTATTTGTTCAGACTAGACACTGTAGACTTTTTAGGTACAGGAACAATGGTGGCTGTCAGGTGGGAACCCTCTCCTGAGACAGTGAGATGTTGAAAATGTCAGTAATAACATCAACTAGCTGATTGGCACAGGATTTTAATACACGGCCCAGCAGATTTACTCATCTTCATTGTCAGCAGGACTTTTCTCACATCTGCTGCGTATAGTAGCTTGTGATGTTTTTGATCACCTGCAACATATCTCTGAAGTTGAGATCTCTCTCTAGTCTCTCCTGACGTCTCCGCTTCACCTTCTTGATGCCATCTTAGACTCTGCGGCCAGTCTACTGACAAGAACTAGGAAAACACATCATATGTCTTCCATGTTTGCTTCTCTGCACTGGTTACCTATAAAATCCTTCTCCTCAACTATAAAGCCTTAATGGTCATGTCTAATTATCATCTTAAAGAGCCCATAGTACCCTATTAGTAGGGTTGGTGGTGGTGGTGGGGATTATTCTTCCGTGTATTGCGATTCTCTTTTGTAAGAATATGTCGCGATACAGAAAAGTAGATAATCAGAAATTTTACACGTTACTAACTCAACATTTTCCCTCTCCCGTAGTTTTGTCTCTCTCCTCTCTCCTGTCGCAGGTGTTTCTGGCTCTGGAGCTGTAGAGTCTGGATCTGTCGTTGCAAGCTACCTACTGTCCACATATGGAACTAGCACTGTCAATCGCTCTCCCCCCACCCCTCTGAACCCAACTGTTCAAGGCAGTTGGCCCACCCGGAGTCTAGGTCTAGGAGTTTTTCATGCCACTATTGCCAATGATTGCTTGTGGTGGGAACTGTTAGGTCCCTGTAAATAATATTACAAAGAGTACAGTCTATACCTGTTCTATATGAAAAGTGCAGTGAGATACCTTCTAAATTGGTGCTATATGAAAAAACTGAATTAAAGGCAGAAGGACAGATATGTTTAGTCTGCAGCCTACAATTTGAAAAGTTCTGCACTGCATTCAATGATCTTTTGTTCAGTGATGCAGTCTTTTTGCCTTGCGTAAATCATATTGAAACAGAACCATTGCTGCATCATATCCACACATATTTCTGCTCACAAACTGGTCATTTGGTCTGGTTAAACTGCATCCTTTAAGAAACATCCTTACAAAATAAAACGTACCCTTTAACCAGTTCTACAGCAATAAAATCATTGCCATCTCCAGAGTTGAAGAGTATGAAGCCATCTGGGGAGGTGGTCTTGAACTGGAAGAAGAGGTGCATGGATGTGTAGGCCTGTAGGGTGGCCAGGCTCAGATAGCTGCTCTTGGATTTGAAGGTGACAGGGTCGGCAATAATGGAACGGATCCCAAAGCGGGCATTAAGCTCGCAATAATCAATATCACCATTCTTGCACAGGTCGATGTAGAGCATGCCGTTAAATCTGAGGAAATGAAGGAACAGGCATTTGAAATGATTAACAAACTGTCTGGTGTATTATATGACGTATTATATTATAGTTATAGGCATAATTAAATTTGGGAAATTACACATTTAACAGAAAAAGAGCAACTTTAGCACTACTTTTGTCTTGTGTTTTTGTCGACTGGAAATCCAAGAATAAATGTACTCTATGGTTTGCTCTCCACCACCTAAAAATATATTTCTCTTTAGCTGCCCATGTTCCACGTTCTTCATCATCTCCATCATCTATAATACATTTGTCATCTGTACACTGGGAGAGTTGAAACCAAACAGTACATGTGCTGTTAAACCAAAATAATTATCTAAAAGAGGCAAAAGAATTCTGTAAAGCTACAGAATTTGGGTGATATTGTCCTTGTCATTTGATTCTTGCTAATGTGAAAAGAATGATAAGCGAAACTTTAAATTATATACATATATATATGCTTTTAAAGTAAAGTAAAAGTAACTGTTCTGAGTACCTAAGGCTCTGCAGATGACCAATGAAGCTGGACGGAATGCTGGAAACAAATCGCCGCTCTGTCATGGTGCCTGTTTCAATGTTGTGGAACTCCAGACGAGTGTGGTCACCCACCATTTGGCCTGAAGACGGGGAGGGTGGAGGGGATGGGTTGAAAAGAAAGACAAAAAACGAAAAGAAAAGAGAACACTGTCTGACACTAACACAAAAGGGCTGATTTAAGGAGAAAATTACATCAACAGTATTAGATGGATCCAAACTGTCGCTAATGATTACATATCTACATGCTTTCTCTCTAGCAGAATCTCTACAATCTCTACGGTATAACACCAAAGCATGGTGTTGTACCAGTGACAAGGCAACACTATGAACATTTCTTCAAGCATGAACCGAGTTGATGCAGGTAAGTACCTTCTGCTACATCATCGTCAACCGTTAGCTTGTAGGTTTTGCCGCGACGCACCACTCGCACTGTATGCCATTCATTATCATTGAGCTTTTGCCCAGCATACAGGGTCTCTGGTCCCTTGCCTGAGAACAGCGGTCAATCACAAAGTTAAAGACATCCTGAGCCTAAACCCAAACCTTTGTTTTCCCATCAGTCAGCCAAGAATCATTGGCTAGAATTCTACAAGCAGCTTAGTAGCTCAAAAATGCCTTTAAATTTAGTTTTCAAACTAGTTCTTATACCTTTGGGAAACAAAGGTTTGGTTTAGTCAGTGAAATACAGAGAAACAATACAAAATACTTAACATCTGTGATTCTAATAGAATACACCTGATCACTATGCTGCAGTACAAAGTCATGGATTTCAAATAGTTTGAACAGCGTAAGGTCAACTACTGCAGGACAAATTGCTTTTACTCATCATAGGCTTATAGAAATCTTTTCTTCCTTTCCTGTCTCTCTTCATTATTTTTTCTGACCATGAAATGCAAGCCAAAAACATCACCACTAAGCACAGATGCCAGTTCATTATAAAATGTCATTAGCTTTTCTGAACCAATCCCAAATCTTTTTGATCCAAGACCTGATGGAAAAGAACATTTATGTTTTCTCATTTGAGGAGATATTTGGTGACAGGAAATCACACATTTGTTATTGCTTGTCAGTGCCTTTGAAAACCATTACAACTGACTATTACACACACACACGCAAAATAATCATATGACTGTTTTCTTATCTGGCAATGTCTGGTTGGGTTTAGGAACAAAAACTACTTGCTTAAGATTAAGAAACAATCAGGGTCACTGATCAATCACTGAATAAATGTGGCCTTCTGGCATTTAAATATAGCAGAGCAGAACTTTCCTCAGAGAGTCACAGGGACAGAGAGTAATAAAGCCTGCAAATGATCAGAGGCATCCAGACAGAAAGTTACTTTCAGACAGCAAGCGGAGTGGTTGCTGTTGCTGCTCTAGTGTGTCAAGCTTTTCTCGGCACATTTCAGCACTGAGACTGGTCCATAAAGATTTATGTGAGTGCAAAATGCACAGTTTGTATGGCTTGAGATATGCGCACAGACCCCAAACTAACCAAAATCATCAAATAACTTTAATGTTCAGTTTATATTGTTTTGTTTTTTTTATCTGTAATCCAGGTTTTCTAGAAACATCAATACTGTTTCAATTGTTGCCCACAACTGTGGGCCAGGATGAGGACTGAGCTCCATCAAAGCTGGTGGGCCATTTTTTACCTAGCCACTAGCTAAAAGTCCAAACTATGTTGCCTCAGGGGAGTCAATAAAAATTCTCTGATGTCAAGTTTATTATTACTGTTTTCAGTTGCGGATGGGAGAAACCAAAGGTCAATTTATTTCCCTGTATCTGTAAACAGTGACATTTAAGATCCCTTGTTGATCTTTGTTATTCCTTTCCCTGATTTTTCTGTTTCACTGTAACACTGTGCATTGTATCTTAGATAAGACTGCTCTTCTGCTCAGGCTCTTTCTGAAAACCTCTGTCCATTTGGTGTCTGACAGCAACATATTATTATAAACTGAACTGTACAGTACAGCAAACACTTTTCTACTCTTGATCCATGAGCCTGCGTCAACTTGCAGGTTTGTTTAGAGACACTAAATTACACTACTGGCTGTAATTATCCATTAAATATTGTTTACATTAAAATGACAGATGTAAAGGCAAAGATCTCTGTGGCCTCCTTATGAGTAAAAGCAATCCATAGTTATTTGTGCAAGCCTGACAACTGAGACACTACAAATAAATTTAGGTTCCAAAAGTAGACACACTGAATTCCTAAATGTATAATGTGTAGAATGTAACCTGAGTCATATTTTGATACTCAGTCTCCTATGACATAACTAAAATTTGTGATTAAAGAACTGATTAGATTGATTGTGTGAAACATTGTGATTATTCAGTTGGTTTGGGTCGAGGATAGGAATGTACACAATCCACCAAGGATCGACACTGTACCTCTCTGTTACAGAAAAAGCAATGATTGAAAGAGCGCAGCGAATGGAAATCTCGGAAAGTTTTTTGGCTTGGGTTTACATTTGACCATACGTTTCTTTAAATTTGAAAAACAAAATCTAAAGTGTATGTTCCACATATGTAGTGTGTACCATCTTTTTTGCCCACACATTATCAAAGCTATTTGATATACTGCACTTTCTCTCTGTTGGGACTGCCTTTAGGGAACTGCTGTTGCATCTGTTTTGGGTATTGGTGAGTTTCAGCCATGTTGTTAAAAGGTACAATGTGTAAGATTTGGCCAGAATTTTAGTTTAAAACATAAAAACAAATTAACATGATCAACAACAGTAGTTGCTGTTACTGATATCAACTGAAGTTAGCATGCTAACCCGCTAGCCCCTGACTTGTCCTGTGTTGCAATACCACTTTGTTACTCAAGATGCATTAGTGAGTCAGTGTAACGTCCAGTCTGTGCTCAGTCCAACATGGGAGCACCAAGAAGTAGAGCTGCTCCGAGGACTTGTCAATCAATGCTGTTGCCCAAGGTGCTCTCCCTTATGTTCCCCGACATCTCGTTCCTCCGCTACCTCTACTTTCTATTCTCCTGCCACCACTTGATGTTCCCTGTCTCTGACCGGGCAGACAGGGTGTGAAATCGTCGTTGTCTAGGGACACAAAGAAGCGTTGCAAAGCACCCCAAAGCACCCTGAAGCACTTTCCTTTTGACGCTAATATTTAATCACTTGGGGCTGTTCAGCTAGACCAAGCAAGTGCAGGTAGGTTATGGCCACAAGCAAATCTGGCAAGAAAAAGCACTGATAACTAAACAAAAATAAATGATCTGATTTGTTCAACCCCAATAAAATATAAAAATCTGCCCATCCACCATAACTATTAGAAATAGTATCATTGGTGTTGGATATTGTGTTTTTAATTTCTGTACTTTTTGTGAGTAACAGAGAGGCACAGACACAAAAAGGCTGGAGAGAATTCAGAGAGTTGCCTGGCTGAGGTGAAAGAGGAGGTGAAATGCTGCCTCCTATTTGTTTGGAGCATGTGGCCAGGAATTACACATTGTACCTTCCTTTCCCCTGAATGTAACGGTCGTCTAAAATACTGTTCCATATGCACTATCATGGAATTTACACGTTTTTCATCCCAATAATAATTAACATTAATGGATAGGAGGAATTATGTTACACATTCAAAAATAAGGTAAGGGGATTTTGCAATTAGGATTCATAATGGGTCGTGCTTAGGGTTATATAGCCTGTGGAGGTCCACTACAGTAGGCAGACAGTATTGAACATCTACAGTACTAAAAAAAATCAATCGACTATACTATCCAGAATAAGTATATCAGTTCACGGGACCAAAGGATTTACAGTATCAAAGATATTTAATTTGAATCGCTCTCTGTTTTTGCACCTGTTATAGCCTCAAAGGTCAGATTATGAACTGCCATCCAGATTGTAATCACTTAAGTGCCCTGAGATAAAGTCTGTTATAAGTTGGCGCTATATACTGTAAATAAATTGAAATTAACATAATCACGTAGAATAATGATGATGAATGGTGATTTACTACTTCTGACACATGAAAATATTGGCAAAATGTAATATACATCTTGAGAATTATTTACTTATTCATTGTTATTAAATGTATATTGTTACTAGTGTATTCAGTGGAAAATGGTGTGAGAATGGTTTTATTTTTCATAGCAACTAGAGAATTGGGACAGCAGACCCATCAGCAGAAAAGAGAGCACAATGGTTGATTTAAAAACAAGTTAAGTTATATGTCGAATAATTAAAACAAGTCATCACTCATTCCATTTGACTGAGGCTATTTCTGTTGGTTCCCGTTGAATTATAGGTAGTCAAAATAATTGCAAAAAGTCATCCACATGATATGCTTAAGAGCAGGTGGTGGGCAGTGCAGGACTCAATCATTTTTAAAAACACATTTCAAAAAAACAAATATCAACATACCATCAACATAGAAAGCAAAATGAAACTTGAGTGTTAACTTACTGGAGTTACAGTTTATCCTGATACAGTCTAGATGGGGAAGAATAAATGACAGATGAAATTGCATCCTTCAAGGTTACTGCTGCAGACATCCAAAAACAAAAAGTCCACCCTTCCGGGGACGTACACATGCAGGAAGGCAGCCATTTTATTCCTTTGGTATTTATATTTAACTTTATGCCAAATTACCACAAGAAATAGATTTGAAAGATTTCAAAAACATCATTTAATAGTAAATAAAATAATACATGGATATTTTGGTCACAGAAATGTGCTGGCTGAAAAAAGCTGCTTTCTAGAGCTTGTGCTCTTTTGTTACCCATAGTACCAGAGTTAAAATGTATTAATTGTTTAGGCACAGTATTTACAGTAAAATGGCCACTTGTAGTACCAGCTACATGAGTTTTCCAACCCAACACTGACTGTTTGACTTTAGGTTTAAATATTTAAATTAGAAAAGCTCCAATTAGGTGGTAACAGCCATCTATTTTAGAGCCTGGGATCTTTGAAAAGTCAAGAAATACAAACTGATACAATGACTGCTGTACGCAGCCGTGAACAGTGAGGGTTGGTCACCATGTGGCTGGCGGTTTCATGTGTCGTCAACCGCAACAGAAAAGTGGGAGCAAACAGCCACGATCCAATCAGCACCAGCACCATGCAGAGGCACAGGAACCCCAACCATCAGATCTGGAGTGCTATCCTACGTCTACATGTGTCACTCAGCTAGATCTGTAAATATTTACACTTTTACAAACATTCTGCTGGAAATCACACAGATTAACATAGGCTAAGAAATGATATCAGCGCTCAGCAATTAGAGCTGCAAACATTTAGACTTAAATCTAGGGTACATAAACAAATTAATATAATCAATGAAGGTTTTATCTAAATGTGACGTAAACCAGCTACCATCAACTTACACTTTATGATTTTTACTAGACATATTATATATGCAAGATAGAAAATATATAAATGACAGAATTTTCATTGTGGAATTCTTTACATTATGATTGGAAATGTTTGGAAGTATATGGGGTCGCAGCCAGCTGTAGGTTTTGCTGGGCTCTGTTCTCGGGCTGTTCGCCTGACGGGCCGCAGGCTTAAGGCCTTTGAAGGGGTGAATACCATCTTTTGACAAAGCATGATGGAAAATGGAGTTGACGGGTGAACATAAAATCAAAACACTGAAAAAGCATAGACTTTTTTATAAAAGACACCATCATTAGCAAAGAAAACAACCACCCAGAAGAACAGGAGGGTGACAGAGATGTCAGACAGAAAAATGAGGTTAGTGAGAAAGACAAGAAAACTTTCTTCTAATGTCCTGTTGAATGATGGACTGAAGTTTAGTGGGCAGGTCACCTCTTAGAAAGTCTCAGCACACTTTGTTCCTTAAAAAAAGCTTTATTGGAGACTAGACTTTAAAGCTCAGTATCTCTACCTTGTAACATGTATTCTGCTTTTTGTGCTGTGACTGTCTCAAAAGTTCTGTAAAAAAGAATATGGATATGACTATGGTTTGTCTGTTTCAAAGATGGGCAACATTTTTACCACTGAAATAAAATAAGTTATGATGGTATAGCCTAAAATTTATCCAGTAAATAGTTGTATTCAGTAAGCAGTCCATGGTTTTCTGTATGCATAAACCTCATTAAACACCCATGCAGAAAGGACTGGAACTCTTTATGTATGTTCTAAAACTGGTAGAAACTATTAAAGTATCATAATGATGAGTAACTGATGAAAAGACTGCACAAAAAGATAGAAAGATAGTGAGAGGAAAGGAGAGGTCACTGCTCAACAGTAAACCGTCTTATGGTGAAGGTGGAGATGTGGAGGCACATGGCTGGGGGGGAGGGGGGCTTATACGATACCTAGGTTGACCGTGAGTTTGACGCGACCCCCATCCAACTCCAACCTGAGCGTGTCAGCTGAGTCTCGGGAGGTGGTGGCTATGAGAAGGCCGTAGGCCCGCTGGGAACGAAAACGCAGGGAGACGTCCTCAGCCTCAGTGTGCATAATGGTCGGCATCACCACCTTCATATACATGCTGCCATCATAGGAGAGGATGGAAGCCTCTGTGTGAGAAAGTCAGGAGCATGGAAAGATGTTAGCCATATTTCAAGTACGTTTGGAGTCACCATTATCCGCTGAAACCTGATACCACTTACACTTCATATTGTGTAGTTTGTTCTAAGCACCTCAGTTTCATTTTGTGTGAGCTCCCTCGTTAACATATCAACCTTGCGTACGTAACTTATGTAAAATATTAACTAACTTGTGTATAACATACTGAGAAAGCAAGCAAGGTTTAACAAGTAGGTTAAACAGATGCAATAAAACATTTAGAAGTAACTGCGAACTGCTGCTAGCTGTGACGCTTTGTTCAGTAAGGCCCTGAGAAGATCTGCCAGGCCAAGCATAGCTGGTCGCAACACGAGCCCCCAGAAACACACTGCTCTGGCTGCGTATGCAGTCTTTCCAATCTAATTCTTGTCTTGTTTGTGCTATGAAGTAGTAAATTCATCAAATCCAGTGCCCCATATCCCTTTAACTGTCACATGCCGTTGAGCACACTGGCAACAGGATGAATCGATGTGGGCTCACGGCACTGGATGTAAAAAGAGAACTGGTTTGTTCACAAGTCCCTCGGCAGGCTGCCAAGAAGTTGGCCAATCAAAAAACAGAGCTCTCAGTGAAGGGCGCTTTAAAGAGACAGGAGATAATACAGATTGTTTTAAGACAGAGGATGAACAGAGGGGCTGTATAAAGGGCCAGTATAAGATAAATATAGATTTTTAAAGAAACATCTTAATCAGCAAGATCCCCTGTCTCTGAACAGTCATGCTGCAGTGCTGCAGAAACATTCATCCATTCATCACATGCAAGCTCCATTACTGCAACGTCATCCACACCAAACTTCACCACCATAAACCACTTGCTCACCTGCACCCCTCCAGAGACCTCATCACATCAATTCTACATGATCACCAGTGGCTTTGAGTCAAATTCAAAATAAACTATGAAATATCCCTGCTCCATAAACTCATTAGGATCATGTTTCTGAGGTAATAAATCAAACGAGAAGTAGTACTTATTTACAATTGAACTTCTTTTTGCAACCAGTGAAGTCGCTCCCTGCTGCTCGTTGGGTGCTCAGGAGCTCAGGAATCCATGGATAATGCCGAGCACCCACAGGGAAATCATGTTGTAGGGTGGCCATATTTGGAGATTATTATTATTATTAAGAGAAATTGACATTGTTAAAATGTGAGTTCCTTAGGTAAACCGGTGTCCATTCCTATTTAACTTTTTTGATGCCCTCAAACTGTCACCTGTAGGCTCGTCATTTCGCAGCACCTTCTGACCCAGATGCTTGACATAGTTGGCTCTAATGCACATTAGTTAGAGTTATCAGTTTAAGACAGTCTGACTATTGACAACCACAAGCTTAGAAAAACACATATGTTTTTAATACATACAATCATACCTGTGGCGTGTTAGCTGATAATGGCAGCTCTAGAAAATTGTCTATATCAAATGTACTTGCATTTCTTGTTTTGCTTTTTTCTATTGTTTTGCCAACTGCTTTTTCCAAGGTCAAAAATCAACTATAAGGACCTTATTTTCAGGGCAGTGCAATGACATAAAAGTTTGATATTTTCCTGAGCTTGAAATGTGTGGTATTTTGTTGCGTGGGCACAGTGCACAACCATGTACAGGTGGGAGATGAGGTTGCAAATTGTTGGTATTTTGGTGGAAATCGGGTCTTAGAAGTTGCACTAGGTTATAGAACTGCATCCGTTTGTGGCACAATGTCACTCCCCAACAACATACTCAGAGCGAATATTCAGCATTAATGGAGAAGTATTTATAATATAAATGGTAAACTTATAATATAAAGATGCATTTAATCTGCATCAACGATGATTTTTAATGTAGTGAAAGGAAGGCCAGCAAATCAGTCTCCATTTATCTAATTATTATTAGTATCTCTTTATACAGTACGAAAAGCACAACAGTTTAGTTCAGTTTAGTGTGCTTTATTGGCATGAATGTTTTATTTAAACAATGCTGCCAAAGCGGTTTGGTACCAAATCAAAAAAGGTCACTTTTAAATATGGCATAGCACGATAAATTCAATCAAGACTATTCAATCTATCAATTATAAATTTAAAAAAAATAAAAATAAATAACAAATACAGACAGAACATAAACTACAAAAAAGTGAACAAGATGTAACCTGCCATGCAGTGAATGAAAAGTGCAACAGTTGGCTGAACTTGTGCAGCACAAAGTTAAGTGCTCTTTTTCTATTATCAGTGCTGTTGTAGGAGACTTTCTTTGAATGTGTAAGATGTTTCTGCAGAATTCTGCATGCAGGGTCTCAATAGGATGCTTCTCCCATCTGTTGTAGTTCTGATGACTGAGTGGACTTTACTTCCATAGAGCGCAATCGGCTTAATAACACTGCCAATATAGAATGTTTAATTGCATAGAGAGCTCTACGAGCTTTTTCTTTTAGTGCATTCACTGCCGTACAGAAGTTCCCTGACGCTGAGATTTGAAGGCCTAGGTAGGTGTAGTTCATTGTGTGTGATCTAGGGTGGTGTTACCTAGAGTGAAATGATGTCTTTTTGTGGCATTTTTCTCAATATTGCAATATCTAATGTTACCCACCAACTGAGTCAGGAGTCGAGTGTGGGAATGTAACTGCAGCCTCCTGGCCCTGGTTTTATGACATGGATCAGGATAATGGATTAGGTCAGAAGGCATCTATTACAGATGGCCTCACTAATGAAGGAATCCACCTCCTCCACCAGTCCAGCTGAGCCCTTTATCTCTACCCTTACAAGTGCTGACCTTTCGACCTCCCCCCTGACCAGTGTTGTGCCCCCTGCCCCGGCCAGTCCTGCTCCACTGGCTACGACAAGTGCTGCTCTCCCCGTCTTGGCTTCGATCAGTGCCCCGCCTGCCATCCAGCCAACAAAAGAGGGCCAAAAATCGTCTGGGCAATGCAATTTTGGACTTTCTCAAGGAAGCAGCAGTCAGAGAGAAGGAGAAAGAAAGAAGTAAGGGAGTTCTATTAACAATTTGGCATGTGGCTAGGGTGGTGCAGCACAGCGGCAGGGACTTCATAACCTCCCAGGGGGAATGAAAGATAATGGTCCTAGGCATGGAGAAAACTCGGACAACGCCTTCATGCATTAACCTCAGGAGGGTGTTCAGGGATTCACAGCAGAAGCAAAAGTCAGGTCTGGTTTCAGATTCCCCATGAACAGTTAGAGGACTGGCATGGTTGGGTTAATTTTGCTGTAGGCTCTAGGATTCTTATCCTAAAAGTGACACTCTTTCAGGCGTTTGAAGTGTATTTATTATTCACTACTAATCACCCCATCCTCTCATTTATATTCCACTTCACCCAGCTCTTTTGCACTTTGCCAGACATGAACCAATAGTTAATCATAGTTAATTCAGTTAAAGCATTTTTAGTGTATATTAACAGACCTGTAACTTACGCGGGATGGCTTATGTGGATACAAGCAAACACAACAGTGTGCAAGTAGCAGTAGCACAAAGAGCAATGTGCTATTACACAAAGGCTGTATCCACTTCCAACAGCAGCTAATTCCTGCCAAAACATTAAGTCGTACAGTGTACGCTTCATTTATTTGGCTCCAAGAGCTGCAGATTACCCATCCCACGTGGCTCTTTTTAGTCCGTGTCTCTGATTGCAAACTGTCGACACACTTCCCTGAACTTCAGATTGGCTGTTACACGATGCTGTGGTTGTGTGCTGAATCTGCCCGCAGCTTGAAAGTGTGACATGTGGATATGTTAATTGAGGTGACACACACACACACACACACACAGAAACTGTGTTTGTATGTGTGAGAGAGTGCGTGTCTACCATGCATTTGTGCTGTGGATGAAATCCTGACTGCTACTGAGCACGTCAACATATTCACCTTCATGACAACTGAGCAAACTCAAGCCAGTGATGAAGACTGTTATTAAGTTAAGTTTATGAGGGAACTAATGGGGCTTTAGAATTCTAAGCATCTTTCAGGCTTTCAGACCACAGGCACCTCACCACACGATCTTTGAACTCTAAATTTAAAAAAAAAATTAAGGTGATAGTATGTCACTCTCTTAAGTATATTGATCTTAAACGTGAAGAGTATTGAGTGTTTTGCTTATTTAAGCTATTCTCATGGGATCTTTTATTGTTTAATGGAACTGATACTCTGAAATGACCATTTGAACCATTTTTACATGCTATTCTTGTCTGGTCAGTATATATTTGACTCTCCAAGTAAAACACTGTAATTTTAAGCAGTTCACTCAAATCATGAAAAAAATGAAGCGTCGTGTGGAGCATCATTAGGTGTCGCCACTGCCTTCTCTTGAATAGAGATGCACCGAAAAGAAAATTCTTGGCCGAAGCCGAAAATGAATAAAATTGCCGAACACTGAACACCGAACAAGTACATTCACATTTTTTTTTACCATTGCATAAATTAAACAGTCAAAATGTGCTTTTTACTCAGAGTTTCACACAGGATTTGGAGAGACTACGGTGGGTAGATCCGAGGCCTAAGCGGGTCCGGTAAAGTAAATTACATGTGTCCATTTACTTTTAATGTACACATGTAATATGTTTTATACTTTCTGTGAATATAAACCAATTAATCTTATTTCCATCCTGTTTAGACGCCTTATTTTGAATCCCGGACGTTGTCACGTGTGTTTCCTCGCGCTAAATTCATCAAGTCCGACGCGGTTTGATAAGTAATGTTGGATGTGGTTCTCATATGGCGTAACATGAAGACTTCACAGCCTCTCTTCAGGTAGGACTCTCATCCTGCAGCACTTGTCTTTGTAAAGAGACAAACTGACAGGATAAAGTTGCTAACCTGCCTGTCAGCTCGCTCTGGGCTGCTTCAGTTACCACAAAGGCTTGAATACGTGTGCACTCCAAATTTAGGTGCGGCTAGCTTAAATGCCTTCTCACAAACAAGTGACAGAAACACTCAAAGTGGGTCATGAAGGTTTTCTATAGTCAGCTACAGATGGA